TTTTTTTTTTTTTCTTTTTCCTTTCTCTCCCCTTTCCCCTTTTTCCTCGGGAGCTCGGCACTCCCGCACGCCTGTGCCGGCACCTGGGTGGCCCCGGGGGAGCCGTGTCCTTTGTCCCACCAGCCGTGTGGCTGCTGTGGGGGTGTTGTGTGTGTGATCCTGCGCTTGTCCTCGCCCCCTCGGCGTGGGCTGCACGCGTGGGCTGGCGAACGAGGAAGGAGACTGGATTTTGGCGGGGGCTGCATGGGCTCTGTGCGGGCTGCGAGCTGCGGGGGTGTTCGCGGGAGGGACACTGAGGGGGGTTGGCACGTTTGTCCTCGGCCGCGGGTCACGGAGGGGACAGGGACTTCAGTGTCCCCCCCGCACCCGCAGGTCCCCGCTGCCGCCGGACGGACAGATGGACACAGCAGCCCCGCCGCACGCCCCGGCCCGCGTCGCACGGCCGGTGCCAGCCGTGCCCAGGGCCAGCTGAGGACCGGGCGTCCCCGGCCTCTGTCTGATTCGGATCCTCCCTCGCTCCGGGCGCGGCCGCCTCCCGCCTCGCCGCCGTCATGAACGGGCTGTCGATCAGCCAACTCTGCTGCCTGTTCTGCTGCCCGCCCTGCCCCAGCCGCATCGCGGCCAAGCTCGCCTTCCTGCCCCCGGAGCCCACCTACGCCGTGGTGCCCGAGCCCGAGCCCGTGGGCAGCACGGGCTCCCTGCGAGGTGCTGCCGGCCGCTGGAAGCTGCACTTGAAGGACCGGGCGGATTTCCAGTACTCCCAGCGGGAGCTGGACAACATCGAGGTGTTCATCACCAAGAGCAGCCGGGGCAACCGCGTCGGCTGCATGTACGTCCGCTGCGTGCCCGGCGCCAGGTGAGTCACCCGTGGGTGTGCCARCTGCTGTGCTGAGAGGGGCTGGGGCCGGCCTGAGGGGCTGTGTCCCTTCCTCTCCCTCGGCTGAGTGTCCCTGGCAGAGCTGGCCCTGCCACGGGGCTTTGGAGGCATCCGGTGAGACGGGCGAGCTTGGCTCCCAGGACCGGTTGGGCTTGTGGCCACACTGGGAATGGGGTTAAACCAGGAGCAGAGGCACAGCCAGAGGCTGCAGGGATGTGGGGATTCCCCAGGCTGCCCTGCAGGTCCCCCAGTGTCATGGSAGTGACGTAAAGCTCTGGTTGTTTGGACAGAGCTTGGCTCTCAGGGTGGCTGCACCAGCGGCTCCTCCCCATCCCCAGCCCTGCAGTGACCATGGG